TAAAAACCCCATGTTTAGCCTTACTAGCATGAAATACTAAAATAAACAGTTACTTTAGAAGTACCACACTCAATGAAAATATCAACTAATATTCTCTTTAAAAGTAGTCTTTGAAAACCCCTGGCTATAGCTGGTGTTATAAAATGAGTACTGTACTTCAGTATGTTCAATATAACCCATAATCCTAATTAAACAGGCTTTTCCAAGAAATATTAAAACTTAAATTGATATTATATATTTGCGTATGGAGGTTGATGGGGGGGGGGGGTTACACAAACGGCGTAAACACTAAAACTCACTGATGAATCATACATGGCGTTACCAATCACACTTAGTTGTAAAACAACTAAAACAGAACATGAAAAACTAGATGAAACTAATTTCACTATCATAAATTCACTTTTACCGTTATTTCGCATACAATGTTGTTTTCCACATTCTGGCACTGTGAAATAGTACTTACATGTATGAATACTGTCAATACCTGGTCTTATCACAGGCTTAGGTATACTGCTGCATGTGTGTTATCAACTGACTCACGACCTTCAGTACGTTTGTGAGGAAACAGTAAAAAATAACAATTAAGTGTTGCAGACCGATATGTTTAGTGCAGTTAAAAAATGTAACAAAAGAAAATGTGAGCATTTTAAATGGAACAACTTAGCATATTTCCCTATAAGGAAGTAGCCATTATCGTAGGGTGGAACGGAAAGACCAAACCCCGGGACCTAAACTTTTATTTTGATGTCCCCAAAATGCAAAAAACAATGTCAACATCATTATATAAATACATTTAAGCTACATCCAATCAAATACGCCAGTTGGTATAAAAACTAAGACAACTATGATCCTTTAAGTCATGTGGTTATTTTTTATTGTTATAAGCAGTTATGTAAATTGTGCTAAGTAAGATACTTACCAATCATTTTAGCCTCTGAATTGCTTATATATTAATTGATATTATAAGGCCTTATCTTAGCAATCCTGTTTTATTGATCTGAAATTAATTTCGGGCCCGAAGGTCCATCATCAGTCGGAATCTAGTAGACCAAATTTTTCTATAATAGAATTAGACTCCTCATCCCATTGTACATTTTGAAGCTTGTTTTTTGTGTCTAGTTCATGTACGTCCACACAGATCGCTAGTGTAGACAAAATTTTGTTTCTATTATTTTAGGGTTATTTTCATAATTTGTGCTTTACTATTTGATTATATGAATAGAAGACCAGTTATTGTTTATGATTATGCAGTTTTATTTGGTTAAATTATGTTTTAAATGACTGAAATATCAAGAAACAAATTGTAAACAAAACATAACCTCTACAGTTGGACGTACAGAACTAACAATTAAATTGGCTTCAGCTGTTCCATAAGGATGACAAATCTACTAAGGGAGTATGTTTTATCTATGGTAGAATCCACCCTTTGGGTTTCGCATAAAGTTTCACAACATTTAAGACAATACAAGTCATAGTCGATACGAAAAGAATAAAACAATTAGGGTTAAAAACAGGTTCTCTAACCAAAGTGAGGTTATCTGACATTATAAAAGACATGGTTTTTAACCCTAATTGTTTTATTCTTTTCGTATCAATTATGACTTGTATTGTCTTAAATGTATTGAAACTTTCTACGAAACCCAACGGGTGGATTCTATTATAGAAACATTTGGTCTACTAGATTCCGACTGATGATGGACCTTCGGGCCCGAAACTAATTTCAGATCAATAAAACAGGATTGCTAAGGTAAGGCCTCATAATATCAATTAAGATACTTACACTTGTGCAATTGACTTTCTACTGGATTTCTACCTAAAACGGAACAAAATTCTTGTAATTATGGGTTATAATTCACTAATTCAGTTCAATTACGGCCATATATAATAAAATACGTATCCCTACATATTGCATCTATCTACTCTTTTACTTACCAATGAACTAATAAAATTAATGCTGATTGAGAAGTTGAAAAATTATTTATACTAGATAACCCGTTGCTCGAAATCGAGCAAAACTGTAACTTGTAATAAAAGAATAAAGAGCAAAAACATAAACAGCAAGACCTCAATTAAAGAGTACTAAAATAATTTTTATGGCTGATAATAGGAATATGAAATATACTATGTTGTAAAATGATAAACGTAATTTACAATATCTAAATATTCATGCGCTCTCATACTGCTTTGGTTATCTCTTATGCACAGTAGGCGGGTGCAGTCTATGAGCAAGTAGATGTCAAGCAGTGAACTTTTTCCGACCTAATGTAGCAAACCAAATCCATTTCTTGACGCCAACCAGTACGACACGTACCCTAGCATTGTTAATTTATTTCTACGATATGTCCTGTTTTAGGCGTGTTTAAATTATGGGGCCCCAACCAAAGTCTTCGGTTGGGAACATAAGAGGGTAGGCAAGTGGATCTAACGACGGATATAGAACGGATACGCGTTTACATTGTTTGTTTAAAAAAAAAAACAAAAACAAAAAAAAACTTAAGATTTAAGATTTATTTGGCCAGGAGGTGCTCTATTTTCAACTTTAAAAATAGCTGCAACATATATACAGGTAGCATCATTTTAGCGAGGGAAGTCACTTATTTTGTCCCTTACATACATAAGAATCTTACTTGACTCCTCGAAGCTCTCGTCGTTTTGAAAGCAAATCCAAACCAAGTGAGATTAAAAACGTTTTTCCTTACATAACGGATTTAATTAATTGCAAGTGTAATACTAATAATGTGTAACCGTAAATTAAATTAAATAGCTAACTTAGGCATCATCCAGGTCAGGGACTAGAGATTCTTTGTGTATAAATTGTTCTTCTGTTTTGATAACCGGGAAAGAGACCTTGAGTCTCTGCTTGTATAGGAGTAATAAATAAACGATGATAAAATATCTTCTATCTATCTATTGTTATATATTTATCAGCTTGTAAGGGTTTTGTCCAAGGGATTCTGTCGAAAATTAAGATAAATAATTTAAAAGCATGTAATAAAATTGAAATTTCAGACTTTGGAGAAGGACACGGTTTTGAAAAAAAAATGTATTCATATGATAAACCTGGTAAACCGTGGATAACATTTCACTCTGTAATTCGCTGGAACATTCGTTTCACGGCTGACTAACTCCGAACTCGTCCAATTAACACAAGTTTAAACTATTAACTGTGGTGTTTCATTAAAACTGATATAGACCTAGATAAGATAAATCAAATGCTCAGTGGATCCATTGCAATACTTCCTATTTTTAATAAAAATTCAACTATAAAATGAACTTATTAAGTTTTTGTACGTCTTCACAATACAGTTGGACATTTCAATAAACTTTAAAATACATTACATATTGCTGGTTTAAAAACTCATCTTACTGTATTTAATAATAATACAGAGTGATACATAGGAAATTTTAAGATTATTGGCCTTTGAAAAGTATAATCCATACTTTTGATGTATCTTATGATCTTTTTACAATTTTAAGACTTATCTATTTTAAGCATTTCCTCTCCAAGCCTACTCGTTTAGGAGCTACAGGATGCAGAATGTACACAGCAAGTCATTTCTTTTCAAGGTGTAACACGCTGTATCTCCTTGAGTAAACAGGTTGAGGATAAGGATAAAATCTTTAAATTGCATTTACATTCTAAGCCATCATAAAATACAATGTGTCAGATAAGAAATTTTAAAATTAGCCGGTAGGCTATAGAAAATAGTGGCCATTTTGGTAAAGTGGAATTCATATTTTCTCTAATGTTGCTAATGCTCTCCCCTAAATGTTTTCTCTAAAAATAACTTCCGAGATACCAATGGTTGCACAATTTAAGTTGTTCATCCTGTAAATTGTTTTACAGCAATAAGCTCAGTAAAGCCGCTATTGGTGAATTACAGAAGGACTTTTAATTTACTACAAATGTATAATGGCAGTAAATTCCTAAACAAACCCATGCAATGTCTATAGTTCATGCTTTTCCGTGTAAGATTCAGTTGATCAAGGTCTCACCACATACAATATAATACTGTGTCTCTTTAGATAAGGAGGCAGAGAGAAGAGTTGTGTTTGAATTCATATCACCATAGACAAATACGATGGACTGAGTACAATCATTGACTATGTATATAAAGTCAATGGTACAATCAAGTCTGTTGAACAACATCTCTTGTTTTGCAGCTTTGTTAAAAACAATAATTTGCTTTTCTGCACTGTTAGACTCTTGTATTGACTGTAATTTAAACTATCTACTAACTGAATACTTGTAAAACAGGATTAACTGTTGTGATCTAGATATAGTCTGATGTAAAAGGCAGCTTTGACAATATTTTTCAACAGCATTTTGAATTTTCAATAATATAGTTAATAGATAATGTAATTAATGAATCAGTCAAATAATTTGTTGGCTGATTGTATCATAAGCCACTGTTCCTCTCAAAGAGGTATATCGGCTACGGTCTTTGTTGGTGGTTATAAGTCGGTTGACAAATTATTTCAATACTTGTAATGGATTGTAATAAAATTATGATAAAGAATTGCTTCTATGTTTGACAACAATTCACGGTCCCTGAACATATGCCTTATTGGGAATTAATTAAATGTTTTTGAGGGTGCATCCTCTTTCTAGGAATCTCGGCATTTCCGCTACCACGCTTACGACGGGAACAATACACTAAACTCTAAAGGATGTTACTTTTATGCTATAAATAAATAAACACCCTGTCTACCATAGATCATGCTGGTTCGCGAGCTCGTTTGAATAAATGTAGGTTTACACGTTCGTACCAATTTTCATCAAAATCGGATCATTTTTGCCCAAGTCATCTTGTTAACGGACATATATATATATATGAATTTTGTATTAAACCCATTAAATCAGAATTGATCATGATAGAATAATCTAGGTAAAAGTATTTTATTAGTATCAATCAACTCCAAGTAAACAAAAACAATTAACACATGATAATAAACTAAAATGACAATAGTCAGTAGAGCCAACCATTACATCTCCCTCTTTAAAGGTTGAGTTTCTGGGGAGGTTTTATAAGTCGTCTTGATCGGGTTGTTATGTTAGCAGAAGACATTCCAGAGGTGTTTGGAGGAACCGTTGAAAAGTTTGGCATGTCTTCATGATGATCCATCGGACCTCTTGTTAATGGTTGACTGTTACGGTTATCTGTTGAAAAGTTTGTTAAGCACATACCGTTGTCTTCCTCAGATCGATGATCCTTCTGACTACTTGTTGATGGTTGATGGTTGTGGCAATGATCCTTCTGACTATTTGTTGATGCTTGATGGTTGTGGTAACTTTCCTTTTGAATGTTTGGCATTGGTTGTAAGTGAAACCGGTTTCTTCGAACTATGGTTCCTTTGTCCGTCAGTACTTTATAAGATCGTGGTGAGTTTAACTTTTCTACGACTTTTCCTTCACGTTTCAAATCAGATATCCAAACTTTGGTTCCTGGGTTCATATCTGATAAGGGTCGAGTACCATGTCGTCGATCGTAATTTCGTTTGTAATTTTGTCTATAATGATTCTCCTTCTCTCGGAGATGACTGAAGTCTGGCTTGTTCTCCAGATGACATGGTAAGGTAGGCAAATTGTCCCGTAGTCTGCGTCCGTATAATAACTGTGCTGGACTGTAACCGTTGGCCAGTGGAGAGTTCCTGTAAGACAACAAAGCTAAATATGGATCTCCTTTGTTCTTCTTTAGAACAGCTTTTGCAATTTTTACAGCTGCTTCGGCTGAGCCATTGCTCTGATGAAACTGAGGACTGCTTGTTTTGCATAAAAAGTTGTACTCTTTGGCAAATTTTCTGAATTCTGCACTAGTGATGCCAAACTGCGTTCCACTATCTGAGTATAAAACTTCAGGAATACCGTGGCGAGAAAACGTTGACTTGCATTTCTCAATAACTTCAGATGCAGTGAGCGATTGTAGAGTTGCAATCTCAAAATATCTCGAGAACTGATCTGTTATAACAATGAGCCATTTGCCATTAAGCTTGAACAAATCCATTGCTGCCTTTTCCCATGGACGTTTTGGAAACTCGGAAGTAATGAGCGGCTCATTTCGATTTTCTCTGTGTTTGATGCATGTTGGGCATGAAGCTACCATCATATTTATATCTGATGCCATTCCTGGCCACCATAAACTGAATCTAGCCTTTTCTCGACATTTGGTGGCTCCTAGATGACCGACGTGTATTCTATGAAGCATTTCTTGACAAAGACTTGATGGTACTATTATTCTAGAATTGCGTAAAAGTAAGTTGTCCATCAGTGATATCTCATCTTTAACCGAGAAGTAGGGGACTAGTTGAGATGGAAGTTGTGATTTTTCTGGCCATCCAGTATGACAGTATACTGCAATCTTTCTGAAGATGGGATCTGCTTGCTGAGCTTCCCGTAACCTGTTTATGTTTTCATCAGTCGTAGGTATGTTTTCAACCACATTTTGAACAAAAGCTTCAATTTCTTCTTCCATGTCATATGTTTCCTTGCTTGGAATGGGGCATCTTGAAAGACAGTCTGCTGGTGCAAGGTGTTTTCCAGGCGTATATGTCACTGAATATGAGTATCTCATCATGCGAAGCCTCATTCGCTGTAAGCGAGGTGTAATGTCATCCAAATTCTTAGATGATAAGATTTTTACAAGTGGCTTGTGATCCGTTTCAATTACAATCTCTCGACCAATTATATAGTCTCTGAGCTTGTCACAAGCCCATGTGATTGCCAGGGCTTCACGTTCAATATTTGAATATGATTTTTCAGCTTCTGTAAGTGACCTTGAAATGTAAGAAACAGGTCTGAATTTACCATCATGATGTTTCTGAAGAAGCAATCCGCCGAGACCTTAAGAAGAAGCGTCTGCTGACACAAGAGTTGGTAAGCGAGGGTCGTAAAATGCTAGTTGGGGTGCTGAGGTCAGAAGTTTTTTTATACTTTCAAACGCATGCTGTTGTTGTTCTCCCCAAAACCATTCATTTTTCTCTTTAAGTAGATCATGGATTGGTTTTAGTATTTCTGATCGATTTGGTATGTATTTACCACAAAAATTAATCATTCCTAAGAAGCGTTGTACTTCTTTTATATCAGATGGAGGTTTCATCTCAAGAATGGCTTTGACTCTTTCATGGCTGATTTGAACCCCTCGGGATGAAAGGTGATGTCCTAAGAATTGTACTTCTGGCTGAGAAAATACACATTTGTCTTTATTCAATGTAATTCCAGCATTTCTGAGTTTCTTTAAAACTTCATTTAAGATCAAGTCATGTTCCTCTTGACTGGAACCCCATACAAGTATGTCATCGATGTGAGCTAAACAGTTTCGTTGAGATCCTAAGGTTTCTTGAATTCGTTTCTGGAAATACTCGGGAGCACTTGTGATACCAAATGGAAGAACTTTGAATTTGTATCGGCCCCAAGGAGTTAAAAACGTGGTGAGATCTTGAGATTCTTCTGCAAGAGCTATTTGCCAAAACCCATGGTTGGCATCCAGTATGGAAAAGACTTTGGCATCTTTTATTCGAGCCATCGTATAATCAATGCCCCAAATAGGATGAGTTTGTCAAAACACATTCTTATTAAGCATAGTAAGGTCCACACATATTCGAACCTGAGTTCTATCTTTCTTAGGCACCACGACCATAAAACGTTAGGCACCAAGAAGTAGCGTGATCAACGGGTGTTATAACGTCCATATTCACCATATTTTCAAATCTCCTTCTTTGTTTTTTCCCAAAGAGGTACTGGAATCCGTCGAGGAACTGATATCGCATAAGGTTTTGCATCATTTTTAAGTTCAATTTCGTAGCTCCCCTTCATTTTTCCTAGACCACTGAAAAGGTCAGGAAAGTTTTTGATCCAATCATTAGCAGATTTGTTGAAATTAGTTTTCGATACCTCACGAATAACCGGTATTATTTTTAGTTTTTCTATTGCTGGTTTGCCAAGTAGTGGTGTTGTGCATTTGTCAGCCACATACATTTTTTCCATACACGATTGTCCTTTGTAAGAGAGTTTTGCAGTGATTGTGCCAAGAACAGAAAGAGGCGATCCTCCAGCCGCACTTAAAGTTCTCTGGGTAGGCTGGACTGCAATTTTTTTGCTTAGCTTTATGTTGGATGGTATTACTGTCACGTCAGCTCCTGTGTCGATTTTGAACTTGACAGTGTCTTCATTAAGTCTTACATTTATTGTCCAGGGATCATTTTTTGTTTTACTAGAATACACACACCCAATGAATTTTTTCGATGGGTCTGGTTCATTAGCGATTTGGGTAAAGTCATCTGAACGATCCAAGTCTATTTCTCGAACATTGTTTTGAAGACAACAGTGTGAAAAGTGGCCATTTCGCTTGCACCTAGAACATTTGCGATCTTTTGCTGGACACAGACCTCTTCGATGAGAAGGGGTTGAACCACACCAAATACAAGAGTTGGGATAGCTCTTGACATTTGAGCTTGAATACGTTAATCTCCCTTGATCCCTATTTTCTCTTTTGGATGAATGTATTGCATTATCATATCTAGCACGTTGATTTTTATTTACAGCTTCGATTGATGGGAGGGTCAATTCTTCTTTTTGTCGTTTCAATTCTTCTGATTTGCGAAGTGAAGTTATTGCAGATTCCAATGTAACTTTATTTTCTAATTGTAGTTTATCACTCAAATCTTGATCACGCATACCAATAATAATGACCATTAATAACATTTCATCTTCAAGCGTTCCCCATTCACAGGTACGAGCAAGAGAATATAAATCTGTCACAAAATCTTCTGCAGTTTCTGTTAGTCCTTGTTTTCTACGTAGAAATTTGGCTCTTTCATAAATAATATTCTTCTTTGGATTGAAGTGCCCATCAAATTTGTCCATGACTGTTTTATACTTTGTTTCTTCGTTGGTCATTTTGAAGGATGAGAATATTTCTTCTGATTTTGGGCCCATTGCATATATGAGTGTACTCACTTGTTTTTCTTCAGATGATTGATCCAAATCACTAATTGTTCTAAATCTTTCGAAACGTTTTTTCCATGGTGACCATTCCGCTGGTTGGAAGGAAAAAGGTTCAGGCATTCTTACTTGTGTATGAGCCATGATAAACTTTTTTGATAATGGTAGATACCACAAAAGTTGTTGATATGTTTGTATAGGTAAAAAAGTTAAATTTCAGTGTCAGTATATTAATTAATACATAAATAGTTGAAACAACCAAAGCCTTTGGTTACCCCAAACTATGCAAATACCGACTGCGCCATGTATTAAACCCATTAAATCAGAATTGATCATGATAGAATAATCTAGGTAAAAGTATTTTATTAGTATCAATCAACTCCAAGTAAACAAAAACAATTAACACATGATAATAAACTAAAATGACAATAGTCAGTAGAGCCAACCATTACAAATTTGAACAGATGGTGTTTTTGGCCTCTAGGGAACTCAAAACAAAAAAGTAAATCGGTCCCGGGTCCAGGTCTTACCATGAGTACTAACGATAATGGATTATTCCCTATATGGGAAATTCGCTAATACAATGCCACAAATTTAGCTCAAAAGAATTGACACTAGTGCTCAGTGTCGCCAACATGAACTAGACACAAAAACAAGCTTCAGAAATTAGAAAATTTAATATTTTGACAGACAAAAATGGGAAAACCAATTACCACCCCATAAAACCCTGTTTCCATAGTCTGATCATGCTGGGTAACAAACTCGGTGGAACCAAATTTATTCAAAATCGGATAATTTTGTTGTCATAAGAAGTTGTCAAGCTTCAGTTGAGTTTTGTTATGTATACATATGAATCTGAATGGATGGTGTTTTTGGCCTCCTGGGACCTCAAAACAAAAAAGTGGATTGAAGTGGATTGGTCCCTGGTCTAGGTATTTCCATGAGCATGAGACCTACTTTAATAGCTTATTCCCTAAGCGATTTTCCCTAAAATGAGATGGGGTGTGTGTGTGTACAATGTCATTCAATATGAGCCACACACCAATGCAGCAGCCTTGTATTAGAGGAGGATGAGGTAAAAGGAAGGGGTAGCAAAGCCTGTCTGTCACACCTTTAAGTAAAACCCTTCAGCTACCTCCAACTTCTTTCAACACTAAACAGCTGTCCTAAAGCCGCGTTTACACGAGGCCAGTAGAGCAGGTGACGGGGCAGGTTACTAAGTTACCTGAGGTAATCTGCCCCGTCAATTGGCCTCGTATAAACGCGGCTTAAGGTCGTAAGTTATATTTCTATTCCTGAACATGCAACGGAATCAAACCTTTTCAATAGATATATGGTATTGTTGCAGATCTACACTAAATTTTAGTGCAGTAAAAATACACAGTTTTATATGTATTATTTTATTGTAACAAAGCGATAATTCATAAAAACATAAATAAATTACAATGAGGCATAGGGTGAGTGACTTAATTATAACTAATAACTATAGTGAAAGCTTTATCTTGACACAATGGAAGACAGGCTGTTGGGAGCAGAAGTACTAAGAGTGGCCATCTTATCCATTTCTTCATCAGCCTGGTTATTCTTCAGTTCCTGCAGAGTTCCCAGCATCTTGTTCCAATCGTCCATCCTTGGCTGGGCGAGTTGCTGTAAAAATTAAAAACTCAATTAGTCAGTGTACAATTTTGTAACATTAGAGCTGAAATCATAGTATTGTGTGCCTAAACTTCTACAGTACTACAGAACTCTTAGCAGCAGCACACACAACAAAAATTTGGATTTTGATAAAGATACTTAGCTTTAATTCAGTATAAAAAAACTAAAATTATGATTGATTATCTCTGTTTCATATCCAACTGTATAATACTAGGAGATGGCCATTTATAGTGATCGTAATAAAGCAACCTCATTGGTAAACCTTCAGGATCTGGAACCTGATCCCATCCCATCTCCAAGTAAAACTTTACAAGAAATGTTGTATTTAACACCTGAATACCTACCACTATCTTCAAAGTATCAAATATCGAGACCAAAAATTGGAATGTGATAGTTAAGATAGTTTTAAGCCAGATTGTTTTATGCAGTGGGGACTGGAAGATGTTGTGTTTGGAAGGTACCAAACTTGGTCAAATAAACAAATTTGCCCACTGTCAAAATAGTTTAAGTCAAATCAGTGACATGTTTTAGATTATTAAGAACATTTTTTTTAACGTTATAACATTCCCCATTCAAATAAAATCATTTCCATCACAATTGTATACATCCAGGGGAACCTTGAGTGACAAATACTTGAGGAAATTATCAAATCGTACTCACCTCACCCACGTCGTACAGCCAGATGCGACCAGCGTCGTCTCCACACGTTACATGGTTGCCATTGGGAGTCCATGATACCTAGACAAAAACATAACAACATACCTAAAGGTGTTTGATAACTAGAAATATCCAACGTTTCTTGTGTTTCTACATGTTTCTGGAGGTGGATCATTCCTCCTGTTTTCAAGTTAAATTAATTAATATCAATTTTAACTATAACATTTAAGAAGCAACATCATATTGAACGTTAAAAACTCTGAACTAGAAGTAGGCTAACTGTAATCAGCTGGTGTTCAGTAAAATTCATTATTGTATAGTAGTACGTAATCAAATCCCATTCGATTAAGCAGGCGGCAAACAGCTGTTTTCCGGACTAAATCCTTGGGTGGGAGGTCCAGTTTACCTGATTGAGCGCAGGGCTACCCTCAACGATGGCCGTAGCTGTAGGCACCTCTGTGTCTGTGTTGAGGTTCCACAGGTCCAGTCGTCCGGTACCATCCACGGCAGCAAACAACGCAGGGTGTGTGGGGGACCAAGCCACGTCATACACATAGTCGCTGTTGTCTTCAAACGAGTACAGAGGCTTGTTCTCCTACAGACAAAACGAGTTATTCCATTCCCACCGACAGAGTACGCAGATGTAGGCGCAAACTCATTGTAAACACTATGGCATGTCTTTGGGAAGTGTAGTAGGCTAGAGTTGGTCCATATAGATGGGATATGTATTTCAGTATCTAGAAGTTAATGTTAAACCTTTTACATTGTCACTAGGGCTAAACATGAGATGAACCATTTAAATAAAACACATAAAACACGACACATTTATGAAACATTTAACACTTAGTAGGCCAACTATTTACCAGTCTCGGTACGGTACCCTTAAATGTTTTTTGAAGAGTCTACAATGGACGAAACGTTCTTGAAGGACGACTTGACAATGCCTATGTATAGGCAAAACATGTGGTGGGTTTGACCATGCATTTATTGAACTGTGGACGTAAAGGTAACCTTAAATATTAGTCTAATCAACACTTCAGGGGCTACACAATGAATTTTAATTATTATTACTGTATTAGGGCACATTCTACTTTGGTGTAGACCAAGTACTGATTCAAGTATTATTAAACCTTGTTAAATTATTTTGTTATATTCGCGCGGTATTAAATTCCAAATTCGATCTCAACATATATTTCGAGTGGCTGTGATGATCACTTGTTAAAGGTAAGCTAATATAGTTAGTAACATTGTTGTAATTATATTCAGAGTCTGAGCCAATAAACTCGAAACGACAATTAATTAACAAATACCTTAGAATCCTGGACTATTTCATTGTAGGCTAGGCTATCTGGTCAAATTTTAGGGTGTAACTGAATTTCAGGTGAGACGACTATTACGTATTATTTCCCTAAGTCCCAATTTTAAAATCTAATTTTGTTTCTCACCTGAAATTTCATCATAAGATGAAGTTAAAAAAAAACAGCTGATACAGATTATTTTTACTGTTATAATTTTTATTTACGTGTAAACAAAAATAACTGTATTGGTAATTTTGGACTAAACATTTTCAAGAATAGTTATATTCTCGGTTAAATACTGGCTGAGGTATAAACGATGTCTCAACAAAAACACATGAATATAGTGCTTTATACATGTATAGTAAAACCTGACTTATATATAGAAATTTTGGAATTGTAAATAACATTTATTTCTGTCAATGCCAAAGCTTCCAGTTTTTGTGGAAAGAGTGAAGTGGTCAGTATGGTGTCAAGCAGGCTGTGTCAATAAATGCGATGACAAAATGCAATGAAAATTCCAAATTTTCTAGTTAAAAATTCAAAATTCCCCATGTTGGTAATTTTTTAAATACACTTGACGATGTTACAGGGCTAATGGAATGCCACCAATTAAGTACACTTAGCCATACGCTATTGGGCATAACTCCAGTTTCCAATAGCAATAAAAGTTCTCCCCATCAAATATGAAGGTCTCTTCAATTTCAAGTGAAATAGTTTCTTGACCTAGATGCTTTTTGTCATTGATGATGCTATCTAACATTAGATAAAACTCTACCTACATCGACATTGCAATACCTTGAGATTCCATAGTTTGACAGTCCAGTCGAAGGAGGAGGTGAGGAAGAGATGTGAGAAGTCTATTCCCTCCTGTACCCTGTGGGCATCAATACCAGTGACACAGGCTTGGTGACCTTCGTAGGTTTCAGTCACTCCTGCCTTGCTGCCGTGTCTACACGCTGCGGGCAGAAAAACACGGATCTAATACTACTATTAAAACTACAATTAATTATATTTTTAATGCAACCATAAAGACAGGTTTAGTTTATATTTTTTGTCAACTAGAGCACACTAGCCGTTTTGCTATTTTTGTCCAACTTTTATGTGGTATATCTACTAAACATGATGAGTCTCAGTGATCAAACGTGTACATCATACGATCAATATACTCATATGAATCTACTTAAAGATCTATCATACTTGATAAGTTATTTAATATTTAGTAAATTACTATCATCTCTATATCGTGGTTTTCACACAAACAAAAATGGCCACAAAAAATATTGAGAGGAAATAAGTTTTTAAATACTTGCATGACATTTATACTCGTAGGATACAGTTAACATTTTATAAAAAAAAATCATTCAAATTAAGAATCTGGAAAGTTTAGTTCTGTTCACCTGAATAGACAGCGCCTTCCTCACTGCCGATGACAAAGTTGTTGACCTCGTTGTGAGGGAAGGCGAGACACCACGCGGCAATAGCCTTGCTCTGTCTGTGCTGCAGCTCCAGCGTCTCTTGCGGCTGAGACAACATGTCCAGTGACCAGGAGCACAACCGACCGTCTGTAGACACTGAGATGAGGTTGTGTGCGTTCTGTGTCCCCACCACTGACAGACAGTACACTGGGTGCTGTAAATGTAGGGGTAATTCAGTTACTTTATATCTAAATGGACCAACTTTGTAGCTTATTTTGATGTAAAATAACATACAAGGTGGCCTCTGAAATTGTGAAAAAAATCAAGCTCCTAAATTTTCCTGGGAGCAAAATCTGGCTTTCCCTAAATACTCTCTAATTGTGGCCTGGTTCGACCTTAAAATATAACTTGGATTTCATGTTGACAGCCTCTGAATCGCTTTTTTCAATAAGTGAATGAATGGTTTAATTACCTTTACTGTCAAAGCGATCCTTGTAGTCTTAATAGGCTACTGCAGTTTCAATTCACAATTCACAATTCATCCCATCACCCAATGAATCAAAAAATGGCGGCATATAACAGCTTCGTTAACAGGTTATTGTCCATCCCATTAAGCCCCACCGACTATAAGAATGAACTTAATATAATTAAATTCATTGCAGTTTCAAATGGATACAAAAGTGAAATCATAGACACGCTTATTTACAAACAGAGGAATAAGAACAAGAAGGAAACCCTACAAAAACAACAATATACTTCCATAGAATATGGCTCCATTCTCACCAATACAGTAAAAAAACAACTATCAAAAAATAATGTTACTATATCATTCAAGACTTCAAACAAACTGGGAAATATTCTTAAACAAAAAACATCACAGGTCAGCAATAAGATGGATAACACTGGAATTTATCAAATAAATTGTAACGATTGCGACAGCTTCTATATAGGACAAACAGCTCGGTCATTTAACATTAGATTTAAAGAACATCTACCCAAAAAATCTAACAAATCAAACTCCGCCTACGCCAACCACCTCATTGACCAGAATCACAGCTACACATCAATAGACAATAATTTACAGATACTTCATACATGTAAAAAAGGTAAATTCATGGACACTATGGAAGAATATGAAATCTACAAAGCTGTCAAAAAAGAACCTCAAAAAACCTTAAATGAACAGAGAGCCTTTAAATCAAACATCATTTACGAAACGGCAATCAGAATAGGTGATATGAATTCAAAGAAAAAGGATCGCATCTGACAAAGGGGAGGGGAGAGGGAAGAATGTGCGTGGACTGATAACAAACAACCGGTAGTCTAGACCAGCCGTCCGCATGCGCCACCACACACTCTTGCCGTCCCAATATTTGTACAGTTTATGTTTAATGTGTCGTTTAAATGTTTCGTGTTCGTGTCCGTGTGTTCAATGGTTTTTAATGACGTGTTCGTGAAAACGAACGAAGATGATGTCCCTAGCCTGAAGAAGATACCATGAAAAGGTCATCGAAACTGCAGTAGCCTATTAAGACTACAAGGATCGCTTTGACAGTAAAGGTAATTAAACCATTCATTCACTTATAACTTGGATGTTGAAATTTTCTCAGATAACAACATATTTTTTACCATTTGATGGTTTCCAAACAACAGTATTTATTTAGTGTTAAATCTATCAAAAATGTATTCAATTATGCGGTTTCCATAACCCTGCTAGCCTCATGCTTACGTCATTAGTTCACTCTTGCGCAAGTTTACCGTATGTGCTGTGGCTGATAGCGGTGTGCGCTGAATAGGTGTCCTCTTCTGCACTCGATTGTCCCAGAGAACTATTTGTCCAGAGAATGTGCCTCCCAGTATGAGATTAGGGTGGAATCTGAAAGCAAGAAGCGTTAAAATATCAAATTAGTTTTTTATGATTATCAAGAAATATTTTGTATAAAAATGTTGTAACTGTAAAAAATTAATTATTACCTAAATTCTTTTTGTACAAGATGTTTTGTGTGAAATGAAAGTTTAAGATAGTAAAATTGTTTATCTGAAATGTTTCAAAAGAATCAAAATTGTTAATGATTTAAGGATCTTTAGTTGCACAACTTTGCATTATACACGAATAAAACTGTTTCACTTTGATACTAATAGAATTTCCAGCCAAGGAACTAATTTTATGATTGAAAAACAGACCAAGCTGACAAAGTAGCTTAGGTTCAAAACCTGCCAATCATAAATGGATTTTACTCATGTCTGAAACTGGTGGTCCGCATCACTAATTTACCTGGCAAATGTGGCGCTCATGACGGCAGACTGACAGTGGAATATAAACTCGGGTGTGGTCTTCTTGAACTTGGTGTTCCACACAAGACACACGCCATCAGGGTCGTGGGGACTCTCAGCATTGGTGTGGTAACTGGCCAACAGCAGCTCAGGGTGCTGCGGCGACCAGTCCAGGGACGTGACACAGCGGTTGCGCGACCATCGCTCGTCAGAGAAACAGCGCGACTGTGACAGTCTACAGCCCGACTTCTCATCACTGTAACAAACGATGGACGAGTAAATTAGATCAAATCATACTATACTACTTATGAATTGTTTGTTTGTTAAGTATATAGCTGTTGATTACTTTCATAAATCTTATATATTAAAACGTAGAGGGTTTTTTTTATTCCACTATTCTGAATCAACCACTTGACGGATTTTCATTATTTTTGCGTTGAAAGAAAGATAGGCTAACTTTTAAAGTAAGGGAATGTCGAAGCTATAATTTTAGTTTAGAGTTAAAGTTTTTTTGAGTTTAGGTTTTGATTTTTTTACCTAGCAGCCGACACAATTTTAAGTCCTTTCAGTACGGGTTTAACTAACAGCTGGTTTCAAACTGTCATTGAAATCTTCATGGATAGGCTTCTGTAGTCGTTACTTATATTTACACAATCTTAGTCTTCGGGGTTTAACCGCAATGACTGCATTACTTAGCTATATACAGAAACTACCGATGTTTTGGCCACATTACAGTCAACCATCTTCAGGGTGAGGAAGCAAAATTACATCAGTTCACAAAATTTGACTGGCATGGGTGGGCCGGGTTTGTAGGTTAATAAAATATATACCCGCTTGGTGGTGGTGGGGGCATTCTTTGAACTTTCCACTCCTTTCTAACTCCACTTGGCTGCAGCCTGTTATCACTTTTTTAAAGTTTAAATTGCTCTTGTTAATTGATTTATCTTTGATTTTTTTTAAACAAGAGTAACCCAGTTTTGTTTGGATTTTTCTTATGGACAAGTGACGTTAAGATGATTAAGTATTGGCTAATGAAAAACCATCTTTTTTTAATCAAATCCCAGTTTACAATGGTAAGATTTCTTTTTAAAAGGGATTTGCTTGGAGAAAAGTCTCTTTTTGTACTAATGTATGGAGGATCTAGTTGCATCGCATCTGCTGAACGACATGCACCAGCCTGTCTTGAATCAGTGTAGCCAGCCTAGAGTCTTTCAAAGCTCATTGCTTGTGTTTTGGTTTGTGATAACAAAGACATTTATCAGATTTCAACACTTTAATGTGATGCCCGATTTTATAATGTGTCATATGATCCAAAATTAGTAATCCTTTGACTACTTGATAGGACTGGATAAGGCACATTTACCTTTAGATATTTTGATTTCTCAATTCTGATGAAAAGAATATTATGTAAAAAAACTCAATCCCTAATTCAGTGCCTAGCGGCAGACATTTCAAATTCACACACAACTACAACCAACATCCTAAATTCCTAACTCACCCAGTGTCCTCGCGGTCAGCACCTCCAGTGTAGTCTGTGTAGATGTCGTGGTCCTCGGCTAAAGCTCTCTCTACGATGGGTGCTGTGTGGTACACAAACCTCTGGAACTCCTCCGACAACACTATCATCAGCTTCTCCTCCTCGCTCAGCTCTCTCACTGTTATTCACAAAACACAAATCTTACAATCTTTCGGTGTGTTTAAACAGAGGGGCTAAACAACTGGAAAAAATTTCACCCATATTTTTCCCAGTCGCCAAGTGTACCTTAATTGAAATTCATTTCCATTCTAGCTCCTGAGCTGTTATATTCAATATGATAAACATACATTTTAAATCTGACAAACAGCTCAATTTTACAAAAGGGTTGTTTACATGTTTTGGCTTATATCCACCACTGTTAAAACATCAAACTGTGGTGATTTGAAAATGGCGGACACAAGCCGAAACATGTAAACAAAATTGAGCTGTTTGTTGGATTTATAAGGTATGTAACCTACTTATCATATTGTACCTTACTGCATATGTTCAGGTAATGTCGGGCCAACAGTTGGCTCGAGGGATCAGTTCGGGCTCAAAATAATAATCAGGCCAAGCTCAGGTCAAGTTGACGGAGCGGGTGTTCATGGTTATGCCGCGACTACAGAAAATGTTCACGATTTTGTAGGCACTGCAGATGATATTTAAGATGTTTTAACAATCGGGTCTTTCATGCTCTAATGGAGTTTCATGAGCATTAACACAAGCAAGTACAGTACGTACAGTACAGTGGTGGGTGTTAAAACTTTAAAAATTGTCTTAAATCCATATTAAAACGAAATGGCACTATGGCACTAAAATAAGCTTTACCCCTAATTCTCGGTTTGTGACCACCCTGTTTAAGTTAAAGAAGTTAAAAATATTGTTCATACCTGTTTATGAACCTAATGAATGAGCGTTGGGTCTATACTCGACTGTATACTTTATCATTTTTTACAAATAACAGCCTCTTCAGCAGAAGATGACTACGGAGAGACTCTGTTCTTGTACTACCCCTGATGGCAACAATTTGGCACCAAAACTATTTAAAGAATACCATAATAGCCAGAATAGCATAAGCAGATACCTTAACTGTTCTCAATTAACTTTCACCACTATATCCAGTGCGGTTAATGGATAGTGTACCTCAATGCTGTGAATATTTGAGGGCTATCCAGAAAGTGACAGATGTTCTAGCATGTTGGCAATAGGCGGGGCAATGGTAGGCCTAGTCTTGCATCTGATGAATTTGTGGTGATACATCCCTGAAACTCTCAGAAAATATTTCTCGGATTTCACGGAGTTTAATTAACAGTGGTTGGTAAACTTGGATACATCAAATTTGCTTCCACGTGGGTTCCAAAATTCCTAACGGAAGACCAAAAGAAGAAAGAGTTGCTGCATTACAGACATTTCTGGAAGAGTATGAAAAATTGGAAACCACGATGTAATCATATTGTATCTGGTGACGAGACTTGGGTAAAGCTCATTAACTGTGAAACAAAAAGGCAGTCAATGGAATGGGGTCATACACAATCCCCCAAGAAACCAATAAAGTGTTTGCAGACACTATCAGCAAGAACTAATACTGCAGCTACTATGTTTTAGGATGCTCAGAGAGTGATTTTTGTAGATTTTCTTGAGCGTGGCCAAACAATCAACTCAGTGGTGTATTGCAAAACACTCTGAAGTTAAGACGTGCGATCCAAAACAAGCGTTGTGGAAAACTAGAGAATTTTTTTCTAGCAACAATGCCCGTCTACACACTGCCAATCGAAACAAAGAGCTATTGGATGGTTTTGGATGGGACGTTTTCAATCATACGCTGTAGGATTTGGCGCCTAGCATCTGATCTGTTCCCAGCGATGAAGACGTGGCTCGCTAGGCAACGCTTTGACACTGGCGCTACTCTATGTCGGTGTAAACCAGTGGTTGAACTCGAAAGTGGCAGATTTCTAGAAACAGGGCATTGAAAAGCTTGTACCACCTTACGATAAACGTCTTAATTTAAATGGGCATTAAAAATAGCCTCAAAGTTTACCTTCAAAATGTACATAATAAAAATTATTTTTCACATTGATTTATTTACAAACGTCTGTTACTTTCTGAATATTCCTCGTACCATTTAATAATCAGGGTAGCAATATTTTTGTCTGCGCACAGACATCCATCTGGTGTTGACCTTTACAGCTAAATCAACGAGACATAGCTGTGTTTAACAGATTCAGCATGTAATCTGCTTCACCTAATCTATGCTGCAGTTTAACGTGCAGGGAACGTTACAGTAAGCAGATACTCACCAGTCTTGGGTGGGTCCTTCTTGGCTTCCTGTTCGACCTTGGTGATGGCTGGCTCTGTCTCCTTCACCTGAGGTAGTCCGTGGGGCAGAATCCCTGGCGGCAGCTTGCTGTGGAACCCATCCAGATGCGGCAGAGAGCTCTCCTCGTCTTCCGCTTGTGGTTCGTCATACGTCAAAACTGTTGGTGAATAAGTTGGCCCCACCCAGGTTGACCTTAGCCTAACCCTCACTGATTAACAAATCCTAAATGCTTTGCCTAAAATCTTACTACAACCTCGCGATGCCTTATCCTTAGCCTAGAATCCAAATAGTTCCCTTTTACACTAGTCCAGTTTAAAATAATCTTCCTTCGCCTACCTGAAGCCAGATAAAGAGACACATAATCTCCTTTTAATCTAGCTTTGCACACACTCTTGCATAACTATTTTCTTGATTATCCAAACAAACCCTCAAATAATATTTTTGGTTCGAATCCAAATATTTACATTTTCCCCTTTACTCTCACTTATCTTGACAGAAATCCTACAATTAATAAGAACCGTAATCTCCCAACTACACTTAAAAAAGTGAGGTTTTTTTCTGTAACATCCTTAAAGAAAACTTGCAAAAAAACTTCCTTTACCTAATTAGCCCTATCAAATACCTTGAAAACCCTAACAAAACCGTCATATAATTCACCTTTACAATTTCTATACTTGCAGGTCGTTGTATAATCTTCTGTCATTCTTTATTATCCCTGAGAAACCTTTAAACATCTTTTTTAAACAGTTGCCCGATCTAACACGTCATCATAAAATCTATTAAATCATTTCTTGTACCAACAAACCCTAACATATCCATTGCTTACTTGTCTTTAACCTTACTAACTTTACTAGTACATAAAATATATCGCTTTCTCCTTATAAAGAATTGTTACTGAAACTATACTGCCAATCAAAAATTACCATATTATTGCTGCAATCGTATTAACACATCTTTTCACATGCTACAGATTAATGGTAGTTTACGCTACGTTCACGTAAAGATTGTCTTTACGACACAAGCTGATAAGTTGGCCTTGGAAGCATTAAAATTAAAAATTTAATTCTTTTCTCTCAATCCTCCCCATTGGTCCGTTGCTTTACCACACTAGTGCTAAACAAGAGGTAAAGTGAATCTTTTCAATTCTAAAAATTAAATTTAAAGGCTAGTTTTAAAAAATGGTTGTAGGATAAAGTATTTTTAGTTAAAAAAATTTTTTTTTGTTTGAAAATATTGCCTAAATGCAATTAACAGCAGTTTTGGCAGAATATAAACCACCATTCCTGTACCTAGTAGCATTTATATTGTTTTATTTAATTTGTGTGTTTATTTTATCTAACTAGTATTTAGTGGCATAAATATTTATGAATTTATCCTGTTTGCTTAGTCATCTAACATGAATAGTTGAAAAAATGTTGGAATTCTTTGAAGTGGAAGAACAATAATTTAGATAGATTTAGTTTAGGTATTCACTAAAAACCACAAGTATTCACAATTCTTTTGTAGCTGCTTGGTTAGAAATAGGTTTTTAAGTTTAATAAAAATATAATGTAAAACATATTATCATTTTAATGCTTCTTGTCCTTTAAGATGCTTAATAGAATGTCCTAAAACTCAAAGAAATGTGTGAGCATAATAAAAAGAACTGGTTTTAAAAATATTTTCTTGTGCAACATCAAGTTGTTTCTATTATCCTCAGTAAAGAAAGCTCAATATTTGTATTGTTAGCAACAACTTCAAAACTATTTGGTTACAAGATTTATTCAATCCAAAAACTTAAGCATTCAAAAAACCCTTGTTAGTATAAATTAAAGAACAAAAACAAGTTAGTTTTTTTGGGTGCTGTCATAAAAACGATTGAAGCGAAACCACAAAAATTGTGATTAGTTCTTCCATTAAAACAATAACTTGACATATGAATACTCAAAGCCCTTATCCTTAATTAAACAATTCTAACACATCAACTTATCTTGTGTGTTATGGTGCTATATAGTAAGTGCTTATTTCTGTAACTAGGAATAATTTATCCATTCCGTATGCAACATGAAATTTGGCAATATTATGAAAATTTGTTTATAAATAATGCATTTTTTAATCATTAATAAGTAAAATTGTACATGACTGGTTTGATATAAATTTAGTGTACAGCAACGGTATTGGTTAGTAATGAATCAGTATTAATCTTAAATAATTCTTTGAATAATATTTTTAGTTTTTAATGCACTGTAAACTTTTATTGTATACAAACTAAGCAAAAAGCACTACAAAAGCTCTTAATACCTATATAATATTTAGTAGTAAAATGTTTAATTGTTTGTAACCTTGTCAAAATACCTATGAGTGCACTTATAACTTTTGATGGCGTTCATGAACAATTATTTTAAACTCTTTACAAAAAGTTTATATATAAAAAAAAAACTCTCCCAGCTAAAATATTGACTAAATTCCATTAATTAAAAAGAAAGACCGAAGTTAAAAAAAAACAAAATGTCCTGAGCTATTACTCTTTTAATTTACAGAAATAATAAAGCAATCTTTAAATTAACTGAGAAACGTAGATATGTTATGAACATAGGAGTACCCTATTTAAAGTACAAGAAATTTAGCCCATGTAATTAGCTTACGAAACTCTCAAATTTAAAGTAATTATGAAATTGGATACTTGTGCACTGAATATAATGTCAAATACCTAGTAAAAACCACTTAATTTATCAAAACTTTCTGAAAATTATAACTTACAAAGTATAAACTTTACTATTTGCATATGGATTGTCAATTTTATTTAGCAAGAGACAAAAATCATGTAACTGCCATGGGAATGGTTGTAAACAAACCAATAACGCAGTTACTACTTGCAAAAACCAATTGAAATATGCATGTCATTTGCCTATTAGGTCTGATGACGGTTGAAGTGTTCAATCGAAACCACTACCATCTTTCATGTACAGTAGAACCTTGATATCAAGACTTGTTATCAAGGTTGAATTTTTATCGAGGTTTGCAATAACATGTGATTAGGGGTAGAAAATCAAAGTTAAATATAAAAAATTTGAAAATTATTCTTTGATACCAAGAGTATCTTGCTATCGAGGTTCCATATTATCTTTACTGTCTTGTTAAAACAGTATAGGTGTAGATTTCTGTTTCAAGTATTATTAGACATATTTTTACTTTCCATAAATTTTCACAAAAAATGTATTCACATTTTAGTGAAATGAAGTCAAAAATTTTTGTTTATTAAAACTGAATGAACCCAACCTCAGCCTAACTTTGAGCAACACTATAGCTTTTTAGAACACAGTAAAACTTCAATCACGACACAAGTGTGACGAGATGAAGTCAGTAAAAAATTAACCGTACATCTATTTGGTACTATTTTTCTCCGTTACATGATCTTTGTCTTTTGATGAAACACAGAATGAGATAGAGAAGGAAGGCTTGACCTGGGACCTACCTGTAAACTCGTCCTCCCATTCTAAACCAGGATTTAGATTGTACTCGTCTTGAAAGAGAACAAACAGTCACAATCACCATCTGATAACTGAACAACTTAAACTACCCACAGCTGTGAGTGCGCTTGCTGACCCCACTAACATCACAGTGAGCTCGTCTCATTGGTTAATGTTACCAAGGCCTCGTGGAATAATCTTTTATTACGGTACTGGGCTTATGCTAATAGTGCGGGTCACGCAAATATCTTACTGTACTACATATGGGAAATTCATTGATAAAATACTCTTAAGTATTCATAACAAATTCAGTATATCTTAATTGCTGAATTCTTGTGAGGATATTAAAAATAAGTCACTATTTCTTAGTAGTATAAATACTCATGTCATCGCTTTTTAAGGAAATTTTCTAAGAAATGGTGCAGCTTTAGCATTGCACACACAAACAGCCTCTAGTCAAGGATTTTTTTAAATACAAATTTTGTATGGACTTATTTTAGAGTATTTTGAACAAGTGTGTTAGCCAACCCAATCAGAACATTATAATTTTGTTTTAAATGCTTTTAATTTAAATTTATTAGATTTTGAATCTAAAAAAGCTATAAGTGAGCTGGTAGCTACAAATTTGAAAGGTTCAAAAAGGGAAAAGATTGATACGTAATACTTACAATTACTCAGTTTTTATGGAAAGTATATGTTGGATCATGACAGTAGGTTGTCTTTTGGCGAATTTCGCATAGAAAACTTTTTAAATGTAAGCAGTTAGCTAAGAATTTTATCCGATTTGTATAATATTTGATAAGAACTCTTAATGATGAGTTTGATGGATACATATACCCACAACGCTATCTGTTCCCTCCCTTCAAGTCCCTGTAACTAGTTAAATTTCTATAAAATTGGCCAGACAACAGTTTGTATACAATTATAATAAAACTAAAATTATTACATAGGAATCAAAAGTGTTCCATGAAAAACATTAATTATCCATCCTTTCCACAGTTGCTATTACAACAGCAATAAGTAGAAGAATGTAAAAGTTTGACGAAATGTTTTTAAAAATGTGACGATTTATAATAATTTTTTTTATGAGATTTGCTCTTGTGACGGAGTTGATCAAAAGCGTTAACAGGCAGACCAAGCTACTCACAGCCAAGCCCCAATAATCTAACTTAAGGTTAACTAAATAAAGTTCTTCCTGGGATAAGTTCAACATTTCAACGCTTACTATATAGTGCAAAGAGTTAAACTAATCTAAGCTAATAGCGGTCATCACTAGTTAAACTAGAATAAGAATTAGTGTAAACTCCTTAATAAATCTAATATTTTCCCTAGCATTTAAATGGTAAAATATCTTAAGCAAAGCATTTGAAAAGAGGTGAAAGCTTGATTCCAAATTATTATTTAATTACAAAATAAAGGTTGCATATGCGGCATTTTTATTTTTCAAAATTGGATTTAGCAAGAGGCAGAAAGTACTCAAGCTTTATTTTTCAATAAGTTGATTTGTATGAAATGCAAATACACAAAAAAGTCAAATTGTAAAAATAAACGTAACTTAATCTGAGCTTGTGATACGAGGTTAATAAAAAGTAAGCACCTAATATTGTTCTATATTTTAGTTTACGTTTGGACAACCTATCCCATTTTCAATTAATTTGTAAAAAAAGGTGTTCAAACACTAGAGTGCAAACATGAAATAAAGTTTTTTTACATATCAAAGAATGTTGCATCATAGTTGTAAAACATATTAGGCCAAATATTTTAACTGAATTGGTTAATTGGTTGACACACCATTCCCCAACTTCTAAATCAGCAATTTTGGGCCTACTCATTCTAGCCATAGAGCAAACAACTAATTGTTTTAGGCTCAAAGAAATAACAAAAACCTCCTTATTGATAAGGCAAAAAACAAACAACACACACTTTTTGTTACTCCATATGAAAATATATTAGTAAACACATAGTGCAACACGGCACATAAAAAGCACTGAAATGATCACTTATCCCTTGGGAAGGTTGTTAGTTTGTCAGATTAAAACCAAATACCAATAGATGGTTTACTTTGTTAAAACAGCATAGAGTAAAAATGCCACAAAACAAAATCTGTAAACAGTGTTTATGGTTTTTAAATATTTAATATCATTATTAAATTGAGAATAGGAATGACCAATTAAAGTTGTAAACTAGATGATGTAACACAACTGAACAACAACATTTCAGAGGTAACTAAAACAACAATTTGATGTAACAAGTTTCATTAAACCAAAGCAAACAAATGTAATGTTGTGTTGTAAATATTAAAATGATTTTGTGAAATGTCTTACATAAAATACTGTGCTCAATACATTTTGCAATACATTACTTATTGGATGTAAAACCTTTTATCAATATGTAAGGATAAGCATTTAATGGACAACAAAACTTATGAACCAAATTACAGATTGTTTGGCAAGCAACTTCATGTTGAATTTATTATTGAACATTTTGAGGATTTTGAAGTGTGGCATTGTAAAATTTAAGAAAGTTATTTCTAAATGGTTAGTTTTAACATGCAACAAAACATTAAAGACAATACTAAACCAAATTCGTAAACAATAAACATTCCAAATCACGTAAATTGGTTATTTGTGATACGTAAAGAGTGCAATATATGATAATAAGGAAGTTACTATGTAAAGAAGTGGAGTGAATAAAAATGTTTTAGTCGCCGATTTTATCCTTAGTACAAATTGAACGAATTATGGTTATTCAATATAAATGCTTATTCTAATATTACCTAACCAAGCAAGCACACGTTTAATTTTTCCTGATTAATGCCGATTAATAAATAATGGTTAGTATGTTTTATGGACTTAAAACTTGATAATTCATTGGGCTTTAACTAATGCATTCTAATATTAATTTAAAATAACAAGTCCATGGTTTACACAATTATAAACTACTAAAACCATAAATATAAATGAAATTTATAGCAGTAGTGTTATTGTTATTTGTCATAAATCAAATTAAACAGATGTATGTATTGGACCTAAATGGTATTTTCTAGAAGAATACGATAGAGGTGGAATTTTCCAGCAAATGATATATTTCACTTAAAAATATTTTACATGTAGCAACAAAATTAAAAAAGTTAGGTAATATTTTTTAACCATTCTAATAATTTTTAAGTTTTTTTTAAAAAAGGTGCAAAACGTAAAATCCAGTTTTTTATATCTGTTTATGGAATGACCCTTTTCCAATATACCTTATGTAAATTTAATCTAAAAAGGCGATTAAAACAACTAAACAAACGCATAAAAAGTAAAACAAAACATGCATAAAGCAAATTACTATTATTTTATTTACTTTATCAAGTATAGTACTTAGAAATTTCAGAACATATGGCAAAACCCCAAACATAATAGTAAAACACCATAGTTCCAGATTAAAAAAAATACATCTATTACTGAATCAGTTAAATTTGTCAACTCAACATTTGGCACAAGAAAAAATTTTAATAGAAAACACAAAATTTTTCATCTTGATCCATTTTCTGTCTTCATCACGTGTAACCCTTGCAACCCACATTTGCAAAATTGACATCATAACTTATGATTTATTTTGAAAGTTTACCTTGTGCGTTGCCAGGTACTTGACGTTATTGAGTTTTCAGCTCAATGCGTTTCACCACTATGTGTGGTATCCTCAGGAGCATAGAGGAGAAAATTCAAGAACTTGGCAACACAACCAAGAGGCAAACTTACATTATTATTGTTCTTGAAACTGGATATACCTTGATTTATTTTTACTAGCCTACCTTCACTGCATGTCGATAAAAAATAGGCATAAAGATTCCACAAGTCAATAGCAAAGACGGTAAAACTAAAAGTAATACAAAGCTTAGTATGCCTTTATTCAAACATTAAAATTAAACATTGATAGTATTAATTGTAATTTGTTAATAAGATAAATAAAACAATATTCTAAACTAAGAGTGCCCTTTGAGTGCTTTTCAAGATTGAAAAAATCCCACCTTTTTACATTTGAACAATTAAAGAGAAAGTATGTCTCAAGCTGACTTAGGTAGTACTTCAGTATCCAATAGTCAATGGTAGTACAAATGGTAATAATTATGTCATCATATGTGAACATCCATTAAAGAGCTTTATTTAGGACTTAATCCGTTTAAACAAGTAAACTGTTAAAATACACTCTTATACAAGGGTTGTTTTTTAAGTAAGGGCCGTTTGTAGGTATAGCTTCTTAATTCCTGCAACGAGGCTTCCTGCCGCTTACTGGGATAATTTGTGAACAGAGCGGCACCAATTGCAGCTCTGTAGCTAACGTGTACGCTTTGCTGTATTTAGCACATTTTTTTAATTATTGAACTTCCAGCTGGAAGCAAGACGTCAATGATACGTTTTTATCACTGATATTGATTTAACAAAATTTACCATGCTCTGCTTAGTTTGGCTTTATTTTAGTTCCAATGTAAGTCCAGTTATATTGAGGCATAGTAATATATTACGCATAGCCTACGTAATGAATATCCTGAAAGCTTTTAATTTGAATGTCTTAATTACATTTTGTTTTATAATAACAACGATGAATATAAAATATGAATGAGAGGTAAATATGAGAGGTATAGTGTTTTTTCTTAAATAAAATAATATCTGACCGTTAACGTTTTAATTAGAATAAAAACTTAAAAAAGACAAGACAGAAAATGGATCGGTCATCAAAATTAATTTACAGTTTACACAAAAGAATAAATAAATAAATAAAAACATTTAAGAGGTCATGGGGCTATAGAAATAAGATTTATAATATGCTATTAAAAATATGTTCACAAATCAAAGAAAAATCAATACCTAAAACTAATACATGATTCTAATTTAATATCAAAGTGTTTTGATTTATTTAAAGCGTTTTATATACAGTTAGCGAATCAAAACCCCTCAAAGCAATTTTCCAGGAATGGGATTTTTGTTAATAATATTTAGTTTTTACTGGTAAACAGTGCATTAAAAATGTATACTCGTTACAATATTAATTGTACACCAGTCATGCTATTGTATTTTTATTTATTTTTGAAAAAGTTTTTCCAAAGACTAGACATGAATAACTTGTGCTTTTCACAACCACCAAAAGTATCAAATTGAATTTAACATTTTTGTTTTTGTTTCAAGAAGTATAAACAATCAATTAAACCAATAAATGTGAAGCAATTATCTCAGATTCTCAGCTTTAAAGTTTTAATGTATGGATGGGGATTGTGCCATTTGATTGCCCGTCAGAAAAGTGTTTTTCACCCGTGCAATCAGTCAGGCGAAATGTGGCAATTTGTTGACCAGTGTGAGAATGAAGCTTGAAGAAATAGCTGCTAATGAAAAAAAGAAAAAGAGACAAAAAAAAGGGAAAAAGGGACAAAGAAACAGGGCGACCAAATCCCCCAATGTATTGGGGGGGGCTTAAGAAAGTGATAAATAAAATGACTAATCAAAAAATGTTTAGGGTGAAAAATTATATTTACAAATACAGTAAAACCTCAATAACTCAACACATGACATGGTAACTCGATAGCCTGAGTAACTCGACATTCAACAGAACTGACGATGTGCACGTCTAGTTGGCTTAGACTTACTAGTGCGTTTGACATTTCAAAGACGGCTGAAGATTGCTTCTAACATTCTTTGAAGATTGTTATCTCAATTGGTAGAAAAATGTAAGTAATAAATGTATATGTAAAAATAAAAATGAGTCTGTTAAATGTATTTATTTATTTTTACAATAAAAATGTCATGATCTGGATAGCTCGACAACCTCCCAACTCGACAACCTCTGTACCAGTGATCCAGAGGCCAATCCAACATCACAAAATTAGGCACTTTTCACTGAACTCGAAAACAAATAATAAAAGCGAGAATCTGAGGAAATTACTTCATACTTGAACTAGTGACTACAAATCAAAGTCACAACATAAATTTGAACACAAGAACTAGCAAAACACACACATGCAATGCTTACACTAATAAAATAGTCTGTGAAGGAATCCACAACTTACCGTAATATCCAAACGCTTGAGCTGTGACACAAAAACAAACAAATAGAGTTAGAAAGGTCACAAGAAGATGACAATTATTTTAGCCATAATACTAAACAATTATGAGAATAAAATACTACATAAGCCTACAAACCTAGTGGTAATCGAATGCTCAAAATATAACTTGAATAAAAATCATGCTTGGCACTATTTCTCATACTTTTTACTATAAAAAGGACTTTTCCAAACCGATTTTGCTATTTCATCTATTTATGAACAGTTTAGTACATCTTGATAACTTAGAGTTTCTATAAATAACTAGACATTCCTTAATTAATGTCTCGATCTAGCTCTAATTAAGGTCAAATGAGCTAGCACTAATCTGAAACCAGCAATATAGTTTTAGTTTAGTTTAGTGATGTGGTTTAGTTCCTCACTTAATCTCCTACAAGTTGGTTGGAAATGGGAACCAGCAACTAGAATTGTTAGTGACGCAACAATTAGTAAAGAACACATCGCTGGTCTCAGCCTCGGACTAGCTGACTTAACGGCTACAGAAGCTGGATGGAAACCTTTACTTTGACAGCCCTTGTTCCTTTTAGTAGAAGAAATTAGACAAGCAAATACCATCTTCTTTTGTATGCTATCCTTGTGTTGTCCTGACAAAGATCAATAAGCGGATGTTAAGAAATAACAAGGCCAATGATTAGATTATTTCTTTTCAAAATGTTGTAAATACTTTTTATATAAAAGCAAGAAACAAAAAATATTGTTTCCAGCATGAAAAAAGCAATACAAATTAAGTAATTTAAAGAAATCAAAAAGTACAATTAAATATTTCAAGTTTTAGTCAAGTAGAAATTTAAAAAAAATGTATCATATAATGTGTAAAAACTATGTCTTGATCAGTTTTGATAGCTCTAACCAAGTGATGAAAATACTTATTTAAAAACACAAATTGTCATATAGTAGATCACTAATTAATTACGCTTACCATGCCAGTATATGAAAAGCAAGATATGAAAAGACATACATAAAATTTACATCTGTTAAGTTCATGCATGACGAAGTAATAGAAATAGTCTCATGGATAATGATTATGTAATATAAGTTGATCATGCCAGTGTTTTCATAGAGATTTACGCAAATGATACCAAGGTTTCAGTCATGAGTGATAAGGTTGTAGAGATGGTCTAATGAGGTGGATGACACAGTTTTTGGTATGTAGCAAACACAAGAAAAAAGGTTGTATACTTTAAAAAATCCTGCTTTAAGTTGAAACATTTTAATAACAAAGTTAGTGAAAAACAGTATGCCCTGGCCCTAAGTAACCCTGCCCAATATTATATTGCTGAATTTAGTTCAAATATACAAATCATGCAACACATTTTTAACATCATGTAATAAAATTTCAAAAAAGTACAACATTATTGACTAAACAGTTTGTAATCACATTCAGGTTATGTAACATGGCCCAATGTCAACCCATATAAATTGTGGGCTGAGACTAGTTTTGGATTTACTGTTTCATTATCATATCCGAGAAACAAATATATGTACAACAAAAAGACGTGTTGTCAAAACTGAAATCCATACCAAACGAGTTTACAAGTTGATAAAGTATTAAAAAGTGATATGCACAGATGTAGGTTAAATTTTATATATCCAGCCTTGAACTTGGTCCGACACTAATATTAGGCTAGAAACAGTTTTAGATTGACAATAAGCATAATAATTGAAGTACTTTATTTGTTTTAGTTTGACCAAAACTTGCAGTAGAAAAATCTTGCAAAATTATTAAATTCTGCGTAGAAGAAACCCAAATATGCGAGGAGGTATTTGTAGAATACATCCAATTAACTCAAATGATTTGTCTATATATAATTAAAGACAAAAAATAACATGAGTGAATCAGAATTAGGCCTCTGAGCTAGGGAGACATTTGTCAAAACTATAACATTGCATTCAGTGATATCCTTACTACTTCAATGTTTATCAAACTATGATTAAAATCATGCAGGCTAATAAAGATAATCATTTGTCAAACATAGAATATAATCCACTGATATATTTTGTCGTCACATGGTATAATTCACTGCCAGATACTTCACCTTTACTGTGAAAATTCATCAATGAAAATGTTTATATAGCTAAGGTAAAACATGTGACAGGGAATTAAATCTGTCAATGGAGTTTTGAAAACATTAATAAACTACAGACAATTTTGTCAGCAATTAAAACTACTACAGAATAAAAGCTCATTCTTAAACTTTCTCGAGAAGCAATCTAAAATTTTTAGGCTTTTAACTTTTACAATAAAAACACATAAGCGATATCAAAAGGAGAAGAAGCAATATATGAAAATGAAAGCGGCTGCGATAGAAGAGAGAAAAGCGAAGCGAAGAACGTAATGAAACCCACCTTTCCTGGGCCTCCACCAGTCCTCATAGTATCCTTTAAGTGGGGAAGATGAATCAGATCCTTTTAGTGGCATACACACACCCGCCAATTCAACTTATTTCTGTCATTAGGCTTGATTAGCACTTGATTTACAACTGTGATTTTGAAAGGAATAGTGTAATTTCCTTCGTACAGGTCAAAATTAATTCAATTGACAAAAAAAACGTGTAACAAATATTCACTGACCCAAAAATAGTTCATGTTTTGTATTACTATTGAATTTGTTCCATCCTGAACACAGATATCTGCTATGACAAAAAAATCTTTTACCTACGACCGTTTTTTAATTTAGCCATTTCAGTCCAGTTCTTAGAATTGAAAAGTTTCACTTTACAGCTGTTTACTTTCATATCCGCATAGTTTCATTTCATATCCGCATAGTTTTCTCATATCCACACAGGTAACGGACCAATGAGGTTCAAGCATTGAGAGAAAAGAATTAAAATTGTAATGCTTCGAACGTCAACTAATCAGCTGATCAACTGATCAGTTAACCAATTTAATTGTTGATCCGACTTGTTCATGTTGATACTCGCGTATTCTTAATTAAGTTGGTGGAAGTCCAAAAATAAATGAAATATTTGCCGAATTGTACCTGATACAATATTATTTATGGTAAGATTGCTGCTAGCAATGTAATATTTAACGAAGTTTAACAAACACGTAATTACAGGAAATCAGCTGATTATACAACAAGTCGTTGCATCACTTTCAGTGGCAATGACAATACACGAAAACATAACCTCTCTAAAAAGTTATCAGTAGTAATTGTTAGTAATTAAATCCAGATTGATAGTAATTAAAAAACGGTCATAGGTAAAGTAGTGTACGCAACTCGCGTTAATAGTCTTTACGACACTCGTAGAAGTTTTTAAGGCACTCGCCAAGGCTCGTGCCTTAAATTTTCTACTCGTGTCGTAAAGACTCACTTAACGCAATCGTTGCGTAAACTACTATGCCTGCATCCCTTTATCATGTATAGACCTACTGTATTTATTTTAGTGTAAAACTATTCTTTTAAACCCTTATAATATGTTTAGTGCGGAAAAAATATTAAGGGGTGAGCTGGTACAATTTGTTTATCAAAGATGTCAGCGGCCTCTTTTTACCTTGCATTTACCGTCCACATGGGCCACTGAGGCCTGAGCATGGAACGTAATCAGCAAAGCAAGGGGTGAGCCGGTACAGTACAAGACTGAACTGTAGTGATGAAAATAAAATTACACTGTAGTTTCAGATACCAAGATCCCAACCCAAACCCAAGTCCGTGGTGCTACTGACTGAGCCACCGACTCTAACAAGCAAGAACAACCGATTCACTAACTGTGCAATAACAATCAGTACAATGTACACAGTGCAATACTGTTATCAACTGATTAACTGGCCACTTCTGCCCTTGCTAACTGCACACCATGCGTTTACAGTTATAGGCCTAGTAAATGAAATACTTGTAACATATTAATATTTTGTTGAAAAGAGTTTGTTTTAAGTGATTGAGTTTAGCTAGCTCACCTGAGAAAATCAGAATCCAGGAGAGCTTTATAGAGGCACAACAAACTCACACAACTTAACACTAATGTTTCGACCTATTTAGATTGATAAAATCTAATTTATTAGGCCTAAATATCAGTGTTTTGTTGTCTAGTCTTGTATCAACAATCCCCTGATGAACTCTATTTTTCAGGTTAGTACCTACCATAGCAATGGAAGTCCACATCCTAAAGTTCCCAAACCCTCATATAACAGTTAAACAAATTATTTTAATAATTTAAAACTTTAGGTAATATAATATAGCAACATTAGGATCACACAGAAATAAGTTGAATTGGTCAAATATATTAGTAAAACAAACCACTAAAATGAAATGATTTTAGAACAATAACTAGTGTTGTTGATAGGCACATTGTTTTATTCTGTATTATGACCAATACTTAAAATTTAAATAATTTTTGATTATTTAGTTTTGTTGTGAATCATTAAAAGTTGAGATTTAACAATATCAGGCATATTCAAAAGTTAAAACAGATTGGTAAATTTGAACACAAAAAGATTGCTCTAAAATCACTTCAAGATACAAATCTATAAAACTACTTCTGCAACTCTACAATGAATACAGGTTTATAAAAATTAGTAGTTTTATGAAAGGATGAAATTAAAGTGGTATTTATACTAACTATTGCTGGGCCAATCACCTGGTAGAATACAAATTTTCAAGTAGAATTAATTGACAAAAAACAAAATTTAAAAAGCTTGGTTGGATTTTTCCATGGTTAAAAAATACTGTAGATCTCTGTAATTATTTTAATTGTTAATCAAATTTCATGGAGGGGGTCTTAAAATCATAGGAACAACAATAACATTTCTAAATACATAGAAATAATTATTTTAGACATTTTTGTAATCACCCTCTAATAAATGATTAAAAACTAAAGATAGGGCAATTTGAAAAAGGACGTAGCTAAAAACTAATTCTGAATCAAAACAGTTCATAAAAGTAGGATATTAAAAACCCAATTTTGAATGTTTTAGTTTTACAAATGATTTGTAACAACCAAACATTTATTTCTAAGATAATTCTTCAAAAGTTATGAGAAATTTCATTGAAAACGAACTAAGTGCCGTAAGCACACCAATTTTTAGGAACAAACATCAAGAAGCTCAATAATATATATATTTTTTATTTTATCTGAATTGTTTAGGCTATTAAGAAATGTAACTTCTGAAAATATTTTTTAACAAGAAGTTTAGTTCAATCATTAAAAGAGCCCATTACAAAAACTAGATCAAAAAGTCAAACATAAACACACAAAAAATCAAATAGGCTACTCTTGGGATGGAATTTAACCGATACAAAGGAGTTTAGAAAATGACTTACCATCTCTCTCAGTTCCAGTTGTATTGGTGGTCTGTGTCTGTTTAGTGTAGACGACTGTCTCCTTAGGTGGAATGCTGGTGCACTGTACACTCACTACGCTCAGCTGTGGCTTCTTGCGGCTGGAAACACATTTGCTTACTGTGTAAACTTCATTTTGTGACATTCATGTCCTACTAGAATTTAGTATACAACATACAATGGAGTCCTGATTATCTGACCTAAACCGTGACAAGATTGGATAAGCTGAAAGTTCGAATAATACCAAAAATAATAAAACCCTAAGTAAACATGTAAAAAATAATTAAAGTTTTTCAGCTGTAAATCCTGTTTAATGGAAATCAGGATTGTATCCTTTGATATCAACGGAAGTGTGAACATCTTCTGTTGTAATAGAGTCATCATTGTCTTCCCTGATCACGGTAAAAGTATTCTGTGGTCACAAAGGGATTGCAAACGTCTCTTGTGGTCACAAAATGGCAAAATCGTCATCCTCGCTTAAGGTCGCACCGAATACACATCTCCAAAAAGTCGGGGCAAAATTGCGAGAGTCCTCTGCGGTGTCGGTGAAATCGTGATTATTCTACTTTATTTGTTATATGGAATCATGAACATTGCCTGTGGTCATGCTAAATCGTGAATGTCTTTTGCGAATACGGTAAATTCTCCTGCGCCTGTGGTCACAGAGCGGGGACATCATCCTTGTCTACCATGATAGTGTAAAAATCGCAAGTTTTTGATCGTGCAATCATCGCAGACACTCTTTGCAGTCTAATGAATCAAAGTTCGGCTCTAAAATCGAACCGCTCCCAATATTCTTTTATGAATGACCTGATCTAGGCTTGGCCTAAAAATTATTCCCAGTCCAAACTGAACCTCAAGGGCCATCAGTTAGACCCAAAAGTTAGGATCCAGCAGTGTGTTGTCCCCCACTGCACAATTATCTGGCAGAGCATTTGGTTGCAAGGATTTTAAGGAGGAATAACTAATGTCAAATAATTTAAAAAAAGAACAACGCTCATATGAATGTTTTAATAGTTGCAATACACAATTACTCGTCGATAACTATTAAAATGTCAAAACTAATAATGATTATGAAGAATTTGTTTTCAAACCAAAACTTCAAAACGTATAATCTAGCCTACCTGAAAAGTCAGATATTTAATGGATGGTGTTGGGTTTTGAATTTGGGCACCCGTTAGATCTAGATATCCGAACTGAATCGAATTTGACCAGATTTTTTGGATATTCGCTAAATATTAAACCAACTTTTCCTGTTTTAAATCCATCATCACAACAAAAAAAGTAACTAACAAAGTAAAAACACCGAGTAGTTACAAATTGAAATTGCATAGTATATAGCAACGGTGTCCTAAATACGTTACAAAGCACAGTCAAGTGCAGGTGCTTAAAGCCTAACACGTATCTTCCAATTGTGTATATAGAATGTAGACAGAGGCAGCAAAAGAGGGCCTGATATGGTATATAACCATACCACTCAGAAATAACACACAATATCACCACTGATCATCTGCAGAGAGGTTGGCTAACTGAGGAACGTATAATTTAGATTCCATTGTACCTTAGTGTAACCACAAGTTAGCAAACCACAGAAACTGACTAATATCTACACAGTCTGACTCACCCCACGCTGTAGATGGGCACAGTGCTGGTGAGACTGGTGTCAGGGGTAGCGTTGTTACTGTTGTGTTCAGGAGTCCCGGTGGACGTCACACTGGGAAGACTGGATAGAACATCTGCCAAATGTTTATAGTATTAATAAATCTGTATAAACTATTTCCTCTTCATATTTTAGAAAGAGTCTAGTTTAGCAAGCTTCTTGAGAAAATGAAGAGTTCATGGAATTTTGCTCATCCATCTACTCTCTTATGAAGTCTTACGTTAGGACGATGAAAGTAATGTGTGATGTGTAGCGTTTTAAGATAAATCAACTTGACCCTTTTTTACTTAGTGACTAGCCTAAATATTGACATTGTTGAATTTTATTGTAGAATGTTAACATAACTAACAATGGTTTGTAAGTTTTCAACAGAAAGCTGTTAATAATATGATTATCAATGAAATTACATCAATATTATATCATTATATCGTTTACATAATGAAAACTAAAGTTTAACAAATTAATACAATCAGCACCTAAAACGGTTAGGGTTAGGTTAGTCAGACAATGTTTGTCTATAAGTAGCAGTATTAAATCAAAATTAAATTAACTAAAGAAACAAATTACAACAAACAAAACTAATAAAATTGTAAAATAAAAATTGAAGATAGATTGAGGCTGGTTAGTAAACTCAAAAAATTTCTACTGAGGAAGAAAACCATCCTAAGCACCAAAAATTACAGATTTTCCCCGAGTGAGTCAGGATTGGCTCTACAGCTTTTTGCGTAAATTTGTCATCACTCTGTTATTTTATTCTTTTAAACTTCCATTATTTATTACTAGTTAAGCAATTCTAGAGCAGCAGGCCTTATATCTTTTTAACTTCTTCAAAAATTCTCAATGGAGAAGAAATTTGTTTTTTAGCAATTTTTCCATTCTTTGTATGAACTTGTGGGTACAGTAGAACCTCTTTAATCCGAACCCCCGTAGTCTGAACATCCACTAATCCGAACCCCTCATTGCTGTACTCTATAGCCTACACAGTACAGCAGTTCTTTATTGTATACTGTATTTAATGTACAGTACTGTTTATTCACCATGTTTACTACTGTATTAAATAAACACTGTATTTTAATTAATAAAACATTTTTTTCACTTTTCCCAAAATAATTTAGATCAATTTTAGCCATGTTTTAGCTATTGTTATGTGAAAACAACAATATGTTCTGTAATCCGAACTATTCACTAGTCCGAACTACCCCTGGTCCCAATTAGTTCAGATTAAAGAGGTTCTACTGTATATAGATCTTTAATCCTAGCTGGCAAAGCATTGTACGATTTCATTGTTAGTATTGGGAAGCAGTCGTTCTTCTTGCTCAGCGTAGCCTACAGAATGACACACCGAGTTGATCATTTTCTCTGATGTTATTTGTGTGTATGCTTTTTTTATTAAGAAAAAAACATTACAAGAGTTGTATCCATCATATAATATATTTTTAAGTTTAATATAATTTTGAAACTAATAAGAAGGATGCAAGGCTAATTTGAGAATGTGTTGAGGGGTACGTGGGCTAATGTGTCGTAACTCAAAAAGTTAAAATTTCAAATTGTAAATGTTGACTTTAGATTAATTTTTCATAAGTTAGTGAGCAAATGTATATAGGTAAACTTTACTTTATTTCATGGGTTTTCTAACGTCAAAATAATTTTAATAGTTGATTCAAACTGTTTATTCTAATAATAAATTATTCCAACATTAAACTAAATGACTTTTTTTAAATAATGTATTAAATGTATGTAATGTATGTATGTAAATGTATGTAATGTATTTATGTAATGTATGTATGTTTTAATAATGTACTTATTTCAATAATTGCTTCTGTTGACTTATCTTTTGTAGCATTTTCATGAAAATAATTGTTGACCCAGTGTAAACAGACTATATCTTGAATGAGTAAAGGTGTTGGTACCTATTCTTAAATATGAATGTATAGACATACAGTTGTTTTCAATTCCTATTATTATATTACAGTTTTTCAACAACATTATAACCTAAATATGGTCTTCTAAATATGGTCTTGATTTCAACATAAGACCAGTGTGAATTGTATAACTACCATGACGTATTGAGGTAAGGGTGTGTTGTCTAACCTAATCTGGCTTAAAATACAATGGCCCCAACATGAAGCATAAGTTAGCCTATAGTTTTAATTATGTATAGGCCTAATACCTTTACATAAGTAGAGGGAAAAATTCTATCTAAATAGGTGATGTAAGGGGGGAAATCTGAAAAATCAGCAACCGGCCCACCACTATTTAAAACTAATCTTAAGTTATAGTTTTAAGACTGAATGTCTTTTAACCAAACACTTTTCGTGCATAGGTTCTTCAAAGCACAATCAAAAACATATGCATCTTAAAGGTTAACACTCATATCATTTAGCAAAGGTTAGATTTAAATTGAAACAACAGTGAGTTACGTCTCAATGTCAAACTAAAATCCAGACTAGAAACACAACTTCATCACTCAGCGACTTACTAAGTTGCTCAATCACAAATGATCCTGCGTCTGAAAAAGTTGGGTTCTAATAAGCTGCCGATGATAATAAAAATATAAAATCTAAACACTGTATATATTTATTTTCACACAGAGCTTTTAAAATACAGAGACATTTTGGTACAGTGATCAATTCTTTTGTTAATCCACACATGTAACCTTACCTGATACAGGTGCAACTCCTAGGGAGGAGAGCATATCATCAAGCTCTTTGCGTTGGTCTTTCTCCACATGAACGCTTCGTAAAGCTGCTTCTTCCGCCTGTAAAATTCATGAATATTAGTATATCTACGTGCTAAACATCAGTTTTTTTTTTTTGTTTTTTTTACATTATCTAATGATATTTTTTTAAATTCTTTGGAAAAGAACGACTGAATTTAAGGTTGATATAACATTTATATGTTGTTGTTATTAGGTTTTTATGATCATTGTAAGACGTTTATATTGTTAGGGTGAGGGTAGATTTTATCCAAACGAGGAAGCACTGTTCCAACTGTAATAGGTGTATTCCATGTTTTTAAAGGAGTAACTGTAAAAGGGAGAGCATACCTGGGAAGCTATATCCAGGCTTTGTCTTATTTTATTAGGCTATTTGGTCTAAAATATCACTAAGAATAATTTGTTGACTTACATCTTTTAATTCTTTTTCTCTCCTTCTACGTTCCTTTTCTTCTCTAATAGCTTGAAGCTTGGCCTTTTTCTTCTCTAGTTCAGCCTTCCGGTCAGCCATTTTCAAGGGTATTCAACACAGCACTAAAATTGTATCTTTTGGAAGTGAACTAAGAAGTTACTGAAGAGGCCTGTCAACATAAAAAAGCAAATCAACTTATGTCATTTAAGACTGAAAAGACAATATTAGGCTAACTTACTTACTATTGAGTATTTATTTCAATCTTATGCCACAAAACTTGCGTGAATAAATAATATTTAATTCTTGACAGGTGACTTTACAGAGTTTTCTCTGGGCACTTGTATTGACAATCGTAGAAGTCACAGTGCCTCACATGTGCCATTATTCTAGCACAGACTTGATCTCATTTCACTCTAGAAAATCTTCCACTACCCCTTAGGCTACATTAAGTTAGAATATTAAGGTTCGTGTAACATGGACTCAGCTACTGTGTATCACCTCTTCAACCCAGAGTTCCTGGAGTTAAGTTCTGTTTGTCATCTCTTTTGTTTTGTTTTCTGTTGCAGTAAACTCCCGATTAATTGGCACCGAGACTACCTCGGTTAACGAGAATCTCAGATAACACGAAGGTCTCCTAAATTTTGAGGTTAGGGGTTACAGTACCATTAGGAAGATAAAAGACTTGTAATGTATATGTTTTGTTTTAATAACAATGCATAGTGAATACAAAATGATCAATAATTGGTATTTACGTGGAAAATAAATTTTAAATACTGTAAAGCAGTGTTAAAGGAAAAGAATAAATCAAACATGCTTCTAGGCTAACACTTCTTAAATTGCTTTAGAAAACTTTGAATAAAGTATTAAATTATGCCAAAATTAAACAACAAAACAGAATATGGTGGATCCCTATAGTTTTTAAAGTATAAATATAATTTAGTTTGAATTTGACTTTAACTATACTTGACACAATCATGTCAATATTGCGATGACAAACACTGACAAAAGGTGATACGAGCCGGCAATGCCCAAGCAGAAATGCCACTGCCTTTGATGACGTTCTGCAGACGACTCGTCTAGCTTACGAATGGTACCTAGTATGGTGATTTTTATTTCCTTGGAAACTGTTGATTATTTGTATGTTAAAATAATTCCTAAAATCATTGTTTGAAGTATTTATTTCAAGAATTGCAAATTAATTGCTATTTTTAATTTACTTTCAACAGAAACATTCCTAAAATCGTAGACTTAATTATTTTTTTCCGACCGATAATAAAATATACTAGGTGAACCCGCGCGAATTCGCACGAATAATAAATTAGGATATTATAGCAACGTCGTTAGAAGTTGCGTCGTTGGAGCTCGATCGTTGGCTATATGCATTCTAAGTTCTTTTTGCTGTTCAGTACCGGTAGGAGTATATTGCAGGACGGAGCTCATCATGCTGATAATTTGCGCTTATGGATTAATATTATTCAACCAAATGTTGGGTTAAAATGTGCAGGAGTTCATAGTGCTGCAAGAGCCTAAGAACTCCTTGATTCAATGCTTTGTTTAGCATTCTTTCTTGAACAGCGGTTTCAACATGGTAGATATAAATTTGGGCATATGTGGGATGCTGTAGTTAGATTGTAGTTTCTGCTCAAATGATTTGCTCCATTAAGTAGGCTCTGGATATAGGAGCTTTCTCGGTATGGTGGTAGACTCACTTTTTGCTTATGGCAGCAGGATGAAAATCCTTCGCCTCGTCCTCTTTGTTCTTCTTTAAAATGTAGCGCACCACTTTTCTAACATATTAATGCCACCTCGCCAAGTGAATGCGGCTGAATTCTCGTATTTGTCAGTGTAATTTTGAAAGTACACGTTGCCACTAACTGTCCCAGCTGCTCGTCTGGGCTCCTACGTTTTGCATTGCTTGCCGTATGTTGACTCGCCGTGACCGACCAGCAATATTTCTTTGTCGTTGGATCCTTGGCATGTTTAAACGAAAATAATATGTAAAACTTGTCTCCCGCCGTGTTCTATAGGTAACATTTCTTTGCCGGGTTTCTTATTATTTTTAAAACATGCAAACTGTTTACATTTCAAAACCAAACAAAACAGCTGGGATTTTTTTAAATATATAGATATTTATATTTAGGCCTAGAACGACCTCGGATAACCTGATGCCTCGAATTGAGAGTGTACTGTACTTGTAATTTGGTACAAGGCCTAAATAATGTTTAGTTTACATTTATGTAATTAATCTAATTGCTTTAATTCTATACCTATTTAAACAATATGTAAATCTTTACACTATTTATTGTTATTATATCTTTTTTTGCAGGGGCTGGCTGAAGCCACAAACCACTTCATAATCCTTATTCATTGAATTTTTCGCATCCCAATAATAAGTGGTTTTATTGATAAAACTTAACACCCAAGCACTTGATAAATGCCTACAGTCTGCCAATCAATTCCCTCCTCGGGATGATAACTCCCTCTTACCAGGTTTGTATTGCTATTGGAAAATAGAATACAGTACCTATGTAAATATTGAAATGCTAATAAACTTTGAAGATGAAACTCTAGGTACGAGATGTACCTAGCTTAAATACAGTTTCATTGATACTTTGGTATTATCCGGAGGCCACCCTTATACAGCGTGCTGCGGCGGTTATGTTAGGTTCCGGGTTATCATAACTGTGTTTCTAGGACTTTCCTCGTTTCATTATATATCAAGCAATACCAAATGAGTCATCCATTCGCACGCCAAATCCCCTCCAAGTAGGCCAAGGTAAGGTCGTTGACCGGATGTGTGCATCACCTATCAACGCCTGTATCTGGTGTGGCAGCTAGAGGCGGCGACACATTCAACTCAATCCTCACCAACATCTCGGCCTTCTGGGAGGCAGAACTCAAAGGCCGCAAATTGTAACCAGGTCAAATATGGACAGTAAGTCAATTAAGGTACGTTCATTCCTTTATAATAACCCAACCGCCACAGCACGCTGTATAAAGGTGGCCTGTGGATAATACCAAAGTAGGCTACCATTTCATCTTCAAAATCAAAGGTGAAGTCACCTTAACATCATTACTAGTATCACAACCACCGCTAAGTACCGGTAATATAAATGGAGTAATACCGAACTTAAAACACTTTCAAACAAAATAAACAGTCAAACCAGCCTAATTAGGCACTTGTGCCCTGTGCGGGGAGGTAGAGGAAATTGGATTACGCTGGAAAATTAACATAAGTTTATAAACATTGACATTGGCTCCAAATACTTAGCCAAGAAGTTCTGGCTTAATTTATGATACTTAACCAAATTTACAAGTAGGTTAGGCCTACCATTAAAATACACTTTTTTTTTTTTTTTTTCTCCATAGTCGTTGAGACCAGGGAATCGTCAAAAATTCTTGTTTTTTCTTTTTCTTTCTTCTTTGGATGTTGTTATGTATTGTTGTAGGGTGTGTGGTCTTCGAAATATTCATTTAGACTATAGTAAGGTTTGTTGATTAAGTATTGTTTCAGTTTTTTTAAGAAAAGAGTGTTTGAATCTATTGATTTCAGGTTGTTTGGCAGTGTGTTAAATATTTTAGTTCCTATTATTTTTGGATTTCTGCTGGTTTTAGTGAGTCTGTGTGGTTGTAGATTGTAGTTTGTCTGTAAATTTCTGAGGTTGTAGTTATGGCAATTGTTTCTGGTTTGGGGGGGGGTCATTTTTTAGGAATTTCATTATTTCTAGGATGTACAAGGAGGGTAAAGTTAGGATTTGGTTGGTTGTGAAAAAAGGTTTGCAGTGTTCCCTATATTGCAGTTGTTCAATTGATCTCACAGCTCTTTTTTGAAGTATTAGTAGCTTTTGTAGATGGTAGTCTGCTGCTGAGCCCCAGGCTATGATGCCATACCTCAAGTGACTTTCGAATAGGGCAAAGTATGCTATTTTGGCTGTACTCTTATCAGTCACTGACCAAATCCTTCTTATTGCAAAGAGTGTTGTTGACAATTTCTTTTCCAGGTTTTCTATATGTAGGTGCCAGGATAAGTTTTTGTCCAGGGTGATACCGAGGAATTTGGTTTCTGTTGCCATTGTGATCAAGGTGCAGTTTGCAGGTGGGTTATGGTCAGGTTGATTCGATGCTGTAAAGTTTATGTTGACAGTTTTTGATGTGTTGATTTTGAGGTTTAGTGAAGAACATATTTCTGATGCCAGTTTTAGGGTGTTTTCTGTTTCAGCATGGTTTGTAGATGATGTTGGATAAATGATGGTGGTGTCGTCAGCAAACATTATGCAAGTTTTTTCTGGTGTTAGATGATTTGGGAAGCTATTGATGTATATCAAGAAGTAGAGGGGTCCGAGTACAGATCCTTGAGGAATTCCTCGTTTAGTTAGTTGAGTGGGTGATTTAGTTTTTGTTTGTATTTTATTTATCTGGTGAATTATTTCAACCTGTTGTTGCCTATCTTTGAAATAGTCTTTAATCCAATTTAGTGCGTTTCCTTTTATATTAATTTGGTATAGTTTGTCAAACAGTATATCTCTATCTAGGCTGTCAAAGGCTTTCTGTATGTCTAAGAAGAGTCCTGATGCTGGTTGTTTATTTTCCCAGAGGATGGTAATTGCTTCATGGAGTTCATTTAGTGCTGAGTTGATAGATTTGTTTTTTCTAAACCCGTGTTGATGAGGGGATAGTATATGTAGGTTGGTTAGGTGTTCCATGATCTGTGTATAGATTATTCTTTCGAGGTATTTAGATAGTGTCGGTAAGATTGATATCGGACGGTAGTTTTCCATCAAAGTACTGTCTCCTTTTTTATATTTAGGATATACTGTTGCAGTTTTCATTCCAGATGGGACTTTTGCTTGATTAATCGAAGAGTTTATGATATGAAGAAGGGGTGGTGCGATTTCGCTCTGGCAGTGTTTGATAATTCTATTTGAAATTTCATCATACCCACATGAGTTTTTTGGTGGTAGTGCTTTGAAGATCTGTTTGAGTTGGTCCATGGTTATTGGCTTAAAATTTGATAATTCGAAGGCTTGTGTTAAGTTGGTAGTTTCATGCTGGTCTGTAGGAGGGTGAGGATCATTTATTCGAGTATTGTTACCCTGGGATACAAAGTATCTGTTGAAGGTGTCACTGATCAAGCCTGGGTCGTTAGTGAGGTTTTGATTAACGTTCAGG